ATCTTTTCAGAATCTTTTGTTGAGAGAGCCTTTGTACGGCCGTTGTCAGTGTGGGGACTGGTGTGGGAGGAGATGATAAATTTTCGGGGATGGGGTAGTGAAGAAGTTTGTTTTCAAGCCCTAGGTCCATAAACTCATCTTCTGAGCCCATGTCGAAGGTTCGGATGGAGGTTATTGTTTCCCAGCTTCGGCTGCTAAGATGACTTCCTCCTGGATAGTTGTAAGAGGTCGACGAGGCCTTGCACATTTCGCGGCGTGCGAGGCAGTTGGAGCGGGGGATACGAATATCGCAGGGTTTTTACGCCTCCTTTGGGGCATCTTAGAGTCCTGTAACGATCAAAGTTCGGGAAACTAATCAAGAAGACATGTGTTTGACGATTGGGGTAGAGACAGCGGATAGCTAAGGGGTGCGCAAGCGAGTCTGTTATTATTATTAATTTATTTTATTGTCCTGTCTGAGTCTATGACTATGTAGGACATGCAGGTCCTCTCTGCCTACAGGCCAAGGATACCTATACCAGTAGTATATCCCCTCCTATGCCTCCCATACAGCTCCCCTCAAACAGTACCACCCCTCACAAGTCCTCATTCGATCATACACTAAGAGGAGCCCTTAGCCCTTCATTATCTCCCCTCTCCAGCCAACGAAACGATGGCCATTGGCGGGTGTATGGCAGCCGGGAAAATTCGCAAAAACCACTGGGTGCGGGGCTCTTCTAATACCGACATTAGGAATAAATCCGAAGACATAGTGATCCTTCTGATGCGTTCGAAGAGGCCGGCAAGCTGGGCGCTGCAGACTTGGGGGTACGTCGGAGAATTCACCCTCTGCCTTTCTAGCCTCCTTCCAACTCCTTCCCGAAGGTCGTGCTGAAATGTCAGAAAATTCTTGACAGAGCGTGATTGCTGTATAGTAGCTTAGCCTAGCTTCTTTTGTACCGTCCAGGGCGCTGGGGAGTGCCGTTGACTCATCAACAAAAGAAGCCCCCTTGGCTAATTAGCCGAAATCTTGGTCTTGGCGCCGACAAAAAATCCAAAGTTGAAAACTCCTCAAATATGTCAGTCCCAGCATGGTCTTCAGGGACCTCTTTCCCCTCTCGCTCCACATCTCAGCCGCTTATTCTTCCTCAAGATGTATAACCCCATTAGAGCAGCAGTCCCTCATAAACCAAGACCCCAACTTTGTATTTTTCGACTTGATTTCCGCCTTGCGGGTATAAATAGCGTTGTAAATATGTAGAGGGTGATGGCCGGTAATGAATGAGGCAAGCTCCTGTTTGCAATTGGGGTGATGCCTTTATCGGTCGTCGAGGCGAAGTGATATGTGGTTAGATCGGGGTTGAGGACTCAGAAGATAATGATGAGTGCTGCATGATTGAGAAGTCGTCAAATGGAGATATACATATGTTTGCTTTCGACTTCGATTCGGATGCGATTCTTCTTGGCTATCCCAGATATGCAGAGCATACTGAGCGATTACACCGGCACCACTGGAAGGTGAAGAATTCGTCTTTGCCGGCCAAGCGAGTCTGTAAATCTACTCACTATACAGTAGTATTATCTGATCACCTGTAAAGGGCCAAGGGATCTGGAACAGGCATTGTAGTTATAAAGAGCCGTAGCTACCCGCTCCTAAATTCCTCATAGAAATTATAAACATTTAATGGTGGCATTGCTTTCGTGCATTGGGCGAAAGTCCTAGCCCGTCACACATGTGACATGAAATGTCATAAATATATTGCCCGTGGTGAACAGCCACTCTGCTCGGTATTTACACTTGGAATTCAGCCACCTTTTGCATATAGCTTTCTTCTCAAAAAAAAGGTAGCAATAGAAACTACGTGCGCGGGAAAAAGTCTCAAAAACCTTGCGGCCCCAGCTAGGCGGGGCCTAGACAGGAGGGCTAGACATAACACCTGTACGCGGTGTCCTTTACGAACCTGGGAGTGAAATATTCTCCCAGAGCCAAGTTCAGTCAAATTCCGCAAACCCGAACAAGTTGGCACACGAGGCAATGATTCAAAATACTCCACCATATCAATCTTTCACTCCCAACGAAATCGATTCTTACCTAAGCCTCATCAAGTTTACAAGTACGACCTAGTACATCCTCATTCCAATGACCACACCTCTCGTCGAATTTCTCTGGCCTCAGCTGGTCAGCAAATACACGCCCACGCCGATATTTCACCCTATGGAGGACACAAAGCATGGCGCACAAATCTGGAAGACTGTTCTTTGAGATGGACGCGGGAGGAATCAGGACAAGTTCATAAGATGATGCGAAGGATGGATACAGTCTCGACGGGCGCGTAATTTTGAAATTTGGAAAGGAGTTTTTACAAATTGAGCTTTGTGCGCGCCAAGGCTTCGGTTGCGAGAGTGCAGGCGATACTTTAAACATCGCCATGGTTGGATGGTGCGGTGGTACATCGTCTTGGCCGGTCTGCCAAGTAGAGTCTGGATAGCTTGGACACATATCCCACTTGAGACAGTAGATCGCTGGTTCAAATCCAGCAAAACACAACCACATTTCTCGCGGCGCTGGTATGCATGGATGACGAAGGCATGCTTGGATAACCAAAGGTTTTGAAAGGTCCCTTTGGTGGGTACTAACGGAGGAGGGTCGACTGTTTGTGTAAGCGAACATACCTCATAGTGGAATTTGCGAATGAAATCCAGAGTATGAGTGTCTCTAACGTCAAAAGAGTCATCCCACATGTATACATAGCACCGGTCATGTGTCATAGCTAGATAGCTGAATACACATTAAATGACTCAAAAAAAAAAAAGTACAAGTGTAAGCGACACAGAGCCTAAGCCACAGCATAAACAAGTGTGGCGCCATCTAGGCGTAGAAAACCCCCAATAACCTCCTTGCGCCCACGCCATACAGCCGCTCATATGTCCAATAGGTAGCCTGAAGTGCTACCATATTACCTACTCCAACCTCTTAAAAACACACGAGATCGTGTCGGGAACTTAGACGAATTGTAGTGCCTGTACCTACAAAACACTCCGCGTCCCCATTTCTAACTAGATACGCATCCAATCTACCCGAACTCAACTTGGAAGGTCGATCCGGACGATTCACCCCTGCATCTTCCAACTGAAGCTCAGCCTTGGCGTCAAGAAAGACGCCGAGGTCTGAAATCCTTCGAAACAAGGCAGTCCTAGTATACCCATTAGTGACCACTGTTACGGATCATGTACAACAAATCTGGGAGATATCTCTTTGGGATGGACGTGAGAGGGATCAGGACAAATTTTCAAGATGATGCAAACAATGGATATAAACTCGACGGGCGTGTGATTTTGAAATTTGGTGAGGAGTTTTACGAATTCAGCTTTGTGTGCGCCAATACAACGCTTGCGAGAGTGCAGCTGACACTGTAAACACAAGCAAACGATAGAAGGTGCCGTGGTCCGCCTCCTGGTGATGTTCTCCAGTATAGTCTGAGTAGCCTGAGCACCTACTCCACTTGGGAAGGAGACATCTCTGAACATATTTCGCGCGGAGAAAAGTTGATGGATGACGGAGGCATGTCTGGATAACTCAGGGTTTTTGAGATGTTCCCCTGGGTGGGTATTCACGGATGAGGGTTGAATTGGGGTGAAGAAAAAGCTACCATAACTTCGCAGTGGTACTTGCAAATGAAACCTGAGACATGAGTGCTCCTCTTGTAAATTGAGTCATCTTTTCTGCACTTTTCTTTGATATAGTGTCGTAGCTAGATAGCTGCATACGCAATTAAAATCTGAAGCAAAAAAAGAGGCCTAGACACCGGGACAACATGAAGTGCGCATATCAATCTATATCTCCCTTCTCGGTGACATTATAGGCCAACTTGACCCATTCAGCCATCGCCGTATCAGGTACTGGGTACGCTCCAGATACTCATTGAAATGCTTTTCCTCCATGATTGAGGGCGGGTGATGGGAAGGCTCCGATCCCAACGTCTGATCTAATCGCGGTTAGCTTCATGATAATGGTGATAGGGAAATGTGTTGGGAGATGAAGACGATACAGACCGCGAAAGCGATTGGAAATCCCCATCGAAGTGAAGACTTTGATACTCAGTCTCGGCTTTGTAGACTCTACGGTGAGAGTTGGAATTTGGTGGGTGACAACATTGACAGGTGTTGAGAATAGTCCCTCGTGATAAAACAAGCAACATACTCACCATCGTTCATCACTTGCGCCGAAGGACGTAAGAAGAAATTACTTAGCTTGAGAAGCTCTATAGGCAGCTTATTAATTTTTTGAGGAATTAAAGCACTAAAAACACTTTATAAAAATTGCCGTAAGTTTTACCTTTATCTTTAGCTCGAAATCTTCAACCTACAGCAACGGCAGCGACGAGGGATTCCGGTTTCCACAGCTTGGGACTCCCTTTGATATTTAGTTGCGCAAGCTAGCTGCAACAGTTCTCAAACTTGCCATGATTTACCCAAGTAACGTAGTGAAGAGATATCCCCTCGAAAGAGCTAGTCCAAGGGAGTTCGGCGAAGCATGAGTAATTACAGTCTAAGGATAATCTGCTGATTATCTGCCCATCGGCAGTATTTACAGCAGATATTTTGTGTTCGGCAGGGAGACTGGCTTAAAAAAGCCATTTTCATCGAAGTGGTTTGTTTATGGTTCAAGTAATAGACAAGCTTAATCTCCTTATTCCCCCTCAACTTAGACTTTCCTACACTGGGCCCTTGCTTAATTTCAAAATTGCATAGATTACGGACCATAGCCATATTCAAGCTGTAGTCTAAGTTTCTAGAGTTTTATGTTTGTGCATTAGTTTGCAAAAGTTAGAGACTAGTTACACATTTGTTATGATGTGAATAAGAATACCAGGGCGGCCCTTAATCCGATGACAGCCCTAATTCTACGTAGGCCTTCCGTATTACTCAAATTACAGTAAAAGCACAAAAGATTTGATTTATATGTTAAAGAATCCTAGAAATACAAGCCAGCAATTGACACCCCTTCTATTTTTCCCATCTTATATTTTCAGTAATTTTTTAGCGAAATTTTCGACTAGAGTTTCATTAGGGAAGGATAGGTCCTCCAAGCCCTGAGCATATGGAGTAGGTACATCGGCTCCAGTTATTCTTTGAGCTGGTGCATCCAAATAGTCGAAACCGTATTCCATCGTTAGTGCAAGAATTTCGGCACCAACACCAAATGCTGGGAATCCAGATTCAACGGCCAAGAGTCGGTGTGTTTTTTTTACTGAATTAATGATTGATTCAACGTCAAGAGGTTTAATTGAGCGTAGATTGATTACTTCACACTCAACGCCGTATTTTTTGCTCAAGGCTTCAGCTGCAATCATAGATTGTCCAACACATCGAGAAAGGCTGACAATGGTCAAGTCTTTCCCTACACGTTCAATCTTGGCTTTTCCAAACGGAATAACGAAGTCATCTTGCTGAGCAGCTTCACTCATTGGAAAGGACTGGCCGTAAAGGAGTTCGTTTTCGAGAACACAAACAGGGTTTGGGTCACGTATAGCCGCTTTTAAGAGACCTTTCGCATCCTCGGCCGACCATGGGCTTACGACTTTGAGCCCAGGAATTGAGCCGTACCATGCCGAGTAGTCTTGTGAATGTTGGGCTGCGACACCGGCCGCAAAACCGTTTGGTCCTCTAAATGTGATGTTGCATGGTTGAATACCGCCGGACATATAGTGAGTCTTCGCAGCCGAGTTTACAATTTGATCGATAGCTTGCATGGCAAAATTGAAGGTCATGAATTCACACTAGTGTCTAAATTTTAGCATTCCTATTGTTTTGCAAAAACGTTCGCTACTTACGACAGGAACTAGACCGGCCAGAGCAGCTCCAATTGTGAGGCCGCAAAACCCTGATTCTGTGATAGGACTGTCAATTACTCTTTTGTCACCGAATCTGTCCAGTAGACCTTTGGTGACTTTGTATGCACCATTGTACTGTGCCACCTCCTCGCCCAGAACAAAAACTTTGGGATTTAGCTCTAACTCTTCCGCTAAAGCTTCATTCAAAGCCTCTCGAACAGTATATTCCTTCACACCACTTTCTTTCGCGTATCCTCTGCTTCGAGTTGCTGAAGCACATAGTCTAGGGAGCGATTGGAATGAGCATCGCGCCGAAACGGATCTATATGAATTTGACGAGATAATTCGTGAAGCAGGGCGCAATAAATATGACATTTTGGCTGATGCAGCAACTGGCTAAAATTAATATTGGCGTGAGAAAATAGGGTTGATGTTGTCAAGAGATGGCACGCACCTTACCAGAAGATCAGCTAAACGATGAGTCATCAAATTTTCCAAAAACATCATGTCTCACATATTGCTGGCAATATTTGATCCAAGTAATCTATCTACATGCTTATTTAAAAATAACTATCTAGTTATGGTATAACATTATAGGTAAAGCACAGAATGAATAGCTTATCAATGTCGAGAAATCACATGTCGGATTTCACTCGCAAGTAGTACTGCGAAGTTTTGGTGCCTTTTTCATCACCCAAAGTCAGCCCTTATATATGAAAACTTATCCTAGGATAATTCTCAAAAATCCTAAGCAGGATGTGTCTCTACGAGGCTATTGACTTAGCCAGCGGACATCCCTTCTGACTCAATACGTTTTCGAACCACCTCTCTCACACATCACTACTCTTTTCTAATTCCCAATCCGTTTCATCATCACTATTCGCTCCATTTCACTTTGGACAGAAGCTTTATCCAAGGCCGCTCTGCTCTACTAATGCAATTCAGAAGGAACAGAATAAAAGAAAATCAATTCTTGTTTTGTATTTACTGTCCGACTGAGTCTTTGACTTTACAAAGACACTTAGATCGTTACTGTCTATAGGCTGAGAGTAAATATGCCTCAGCTAGAATAATCCTCCCATGTATCCTTTACAGTATCTGTCAAGAAATGAAACTTCCTAGATTCTTCACTTGAATACCCACTAAGAGGAGCCGTTATCCCGTCATTATCTCCTCTCTAAATCCAACGAAACAATAGCTATTTGCGGGTGTGTATCTGCAGGTAAAAGCCTCAAGAACCACTGGATGCGGGATTCTAATATGATGAAGGGGCCGGTCAGCCAGGTGCAGTAGACCTACGTACACTAAAGAGTGTCTCTCAATCCTCCTAACCTCCTCCTTACTCATCCTATGATTCGTGCCGCAGGACGAGCTGAAGGTCATGAAATGACGTAAGAAAAGCCTTGATCGACATGCACTTGTGGCGAGGCAGCTTAGGCTAGCATGCCAAAGTGGTTGCGGACGTGGGATTGTCGAGTAACTCGTGTAGTTTGAACGCCTTACCAGCTAGATGGGCTGAAGGCAGAGAAATTAATGTAAAGTTTTGTGGACAAGTCGAAATCTGCTTTCTTGGAGGCAGGTCTCAACATTGGAACTCAACCGGATCCAGTGGTATTGGATCAGAAAAGAAAGGCTTTTGCCGAAGATTAAATCTGAATAATTGAGAAATGAAGAGAAACAGAGTATACTACCTTTAGTGGCGTGGATAAAAAAGTAGCCTATCTGCTAGCTAAAATTATCCTGAATTCTAGTAAGCATCTTTAAGCGCGCCAGCATGTCGGATAGCCTAGACAAACTGAACAAACTTATTTGCGACCTTTAGTCTCACGTTGTCTGCTGTTTCCCTGATAAAGATAAAGTATAAATGACACATATCAGGTATCATACTGCAAACTTGCCTATGGATTTCTTATGATGCTAGCAGGTACAAAATTTCACAATCTTTCACTGAATTCTTGTGGTTAGATACTAGTTCGCTTGTGATAAATTATCAAAATTTTATAGAAATCATATGTAACCCTCGCTTACCATAATTTATTGCGAATTTAGAAACTAAAGCCGTCACTAGTTTCCTGCAGCTAAATCATTCAGCCAACTCTTCATATCATCCGCATTTGCTCGTAGCCATTCCAACAATTCTTTTTGCTTTTCCGACATCCAGCTCGTGTCTATTTCAGGAGATTTTGAAGCTTCTGGAACAGCAGCTGTTTCGTGAAGCTCAGAGGCTGGAATTTTTGGTATTTGGGTAGAGGACGACATTGATTCACTGGAAGTAGGCATTCCAGAGCTAGGAATAGACTGAGTCAACGTCACCGAATCTGACTTAAATTCTGGGTTGAATTTCATAGATTCATTATCTTCTGAGCCGTTTTGGCGAGTTGGAACCAATGGTAAACGCATTGTACCATTGTTAGATAGAGGTTCTAAGCCTAAAGTGTCGCAAATTATGTTATAGACCTCGATATTTTCTGAAGATGAGGACATTAGCCGGATTTCACAAGGGCTAGAGTACTCACGGAATGGCTCTAAGAGACTGTTTGGTACCTTTTTAAATGATGGTCCCTTGGCGATAAATATTGCTCTCATTAAAGGATGTTCGTTGTCATAACCGTGCAAGCCTCGCGGATGATACTGTATGCCTTTCTGTATTGATTCCTTGACATCAAATTCTTTCTTTGTAGCAATAGCCCATCCAGTGTTCGGCACTATCCATAAAGGTGCAATTCGATGGTTGTTGGAAAAATGAAATCTTTCTGGCATATTACTGTCTTTAAGATAGACTTTAAAATTTTCATTCTCCTCTGCCAATGTCGAAAGTCTTCCGTATATCTCGTTAATTTCTCCTTTAGGATGTAGTCCATAAAGTGGCCATCCATCAATATGTTCAACTTCGTCGAGGTCTATCAAATCTTCCAGTTGTATCATTCGGCTAACGTCTGTTGTTGCCATCCCATGATCAGATACAATCACTAAATTGACAATGTTCGTCAAATTTCTTTTTTCAAGTCCAACAAAAACCTTTTCCAGCATGCTATCAACCTCATGAATTGTGGCCAAAACTTCGTTACTTTCAGGTCCATAGAGATGACAATCTGCATCAACATTTGGAACATAGGCAGCTATCAATTGAGGTCTTATAAGCGTAGTATCGTCATTTACATATCCTGGCATATCAAGAAGCTCCAGAATCCTATCAGCTTTTTTCGACAAGGATAGCTTACCATCATATTTGTCCAAATATGTCGGCTTAATATCCATTATATGGGCTTCGCTTCCAGGCCACATATGTATCGCTGTTTTCATACCCTGCTTCTCTGCAGTGACCCATAGCGGCTCTCCTCCCCACCACTTAGGATCTAAAGCACTTGAACCTGTATGAAAGAATTCTTCTTTCAATTCTTTGTCCCAGAATCTATTACCAACTATTCCATGGGATTCGGGATATAAGCCAGTTACCAACGTATAGTGGTTTGGAAATGTGACTGAGGGGAAGCTGGGTCTCATATACGGAGGAGAAGCTCCCTCCTTAACGAGGGATCCGAGCCTAGGTGTTATACCTTTATGAAGAAAATCTGCGCGGAAGCCATCTAAGCTGATTAAGATTGTCGTAGGTGCAAAGGGCGTCGTACCATTATTTTTCAGTAATTGAAAATTCGAAACGCTTGTTTTTGACCACGTCTTCTTCCAAAAAAACAAGCCCAGAAACACAAATAATAAAATAGCCACAAAGTAGATGCGGGTCACTGTTATTGGCACCGTTTTATACTTTTTCTTTTTCCTCGGTACTCCAAGTAACCTTTGCTCTGCGGGCTCATTACTTTCTTCCTCGTCACTACTTGATCCTGTGTAATTTTTCTCCATTAAAATTCGTGTGTCCCTCTCAACCATTAATTGCCCGTCATCTCTAGATATTTTATTTTTTAACATCTGAGTCTTTTCCGCCCGTTTTTCATTCCTTGCAAACCCTGAACTTCCTGAACAAGTCTCATTGATTGAAACTGATGATAAGATATTTGAGCGTTTGGGAGATAATTTCTCGAGCGACTTTGCGTCTGAGGGTGGTCCAATTCGATCAATTCTATTCACCCGCTTTTTGTGCATGAGTAATTCATCGATTTCTTCTTCACGGAGCAATTCGTTACCAGAAGCATTAATACTTGGGCTGAGATATCTTTGGTTAGATATAACTTCGTAAAGCACATTAACATGCCAGAGATAACCTTACCTGATAGAGGTTTGCCCCATTTCTTCATCGTTGTCGTCGGACTCATTCACTACATCGGATGAGAGGTGCATATTGGAAATGTCTGAAGAAGATCTTTGCTTCATTCCTATGTCAACCTAAGTACATCATCACCTAAATGCAAACGTCGGCGTGATTCCATCAGTGGTAATCAACATATCTGATCGTGATTCTGTTTGCTCTGACCATTGTACGTGCGCAAATTGGGGACAGTAACTCAAAGACTGTCAGCAAAGTCCCCTACCAGCCTCCAGCTCTCTCTGTAGAGTCTGCAGGGTCGAGATTGAGTAATACCTTTGCCCCCACTTCAATGAGGATTCCCAATCGCTTTCGCCGTCTCTATCGTCTTCATCTCTAAGCACAACCCCTTTATCACCGTTATCATGAAGCTAACCACGATCAGATTAGACGTTGGGATCGGAGCCTTCCCATCACCCGCCCTCAATCATGGAAGAAAAGCAATTCAATGAGTATCCGGAGCGTACCTAGTACCTGATACGGCGATGGCTGAATGGATCAAGTTGGCCTATAATGTCACCGAGAAGGGAGATATAGATGGATATGCGCACCTCATGTGGTCCATGTGTCTAGGCCTCGCCTGGTTGGGCCTGCGGGTTTTAACAAAAATCTTCCCGCACATACAGTTTTCGTTGCTACTTTTTTGATATTTTATGAGTAGAAGGTTTTGTGAAAAAGTGCTTCATTCCTCTAGTCAACTACGGAGCCAAATGGGCATTCATTACGGGCAATATATCGGAAATAATTTTTGGTAACAACAAGTCAGGGGCACTGTGCAAAGTGTAGTCTGGGTCAGAGATGAGCCATACGCGCCAGAGAGTCTGACTTAAGCAGGAAAGTGGGCACAAACAGCTAAATTTTGTAATTTTGTAATGCTGTGAGTTATCTACAGCTCAGTAGGAATTAGCATCAGGGCCCCTCTTCGTTTAACAAATACAAAGAGAGCCCACTCGACAAATGTACAGATGAGAGACTCAGTCGACTCAGGGCGTTGTGACTGCGAAACTTCTTCATCATTTTTTTTCAGCTCGAAAGGGCTTTTTTATATTATTGAATTAAATTGAGCTATCTAGCCATGATAAATGATCGGTGCTATCTGCATTTGTAGGGTTGAATCTTTTGATGTCAGACTCTCAGGGATGAGGGTTTGACAGTATTCCACAGGGTGTGTTGTATAGCCTAGTGAAGATCTAGCTGGTGAATGAAGATAAAAAATGGGTCAAAAGGATGACAGGTCTTCTCTAGGAAGAGATCAATGGGCAACTAGTTGCAGTAGATGTTACACGTGGGTCTTGCTGATGAAGAACTGGGCAATGGATATATGGCCTTCCCGAAGAAGAGATGGGTAAACAAATGTGTTGGTAATGGTAAGTAAAGAAGACGTTGCGTGAGGAGTAAATCTCTCACACGCTGAACTGTTATATACAATAGTAGAAGCATTTGCCAACCGGAATTAATCGTAATCAATTCTTGCCAATATCTTCGCATTAATGGCTGTGTTCTTGTCCTTCTCTTCATGACTCTTTTGTATATCCTTACATGACTAATTTTATAGGGGAAGCTATTACTAAATTGATGGTCTTAATTAACTACCCCTTCATCTTATCACGATTTAATACTAGTATTAAAATTTTAATTAAGGATCCGTGAAACAGACACATTCATACTCTGGATTAATTCGTATATACCACTATGAGGTATGTTTCATTAAGATTGTGTTTATAGGTACATGAAGAGCCCAAGTACTGTGCGCGGGCGCAACGTTAATTGATAAAAATAAATAAAATATATATAGCCTAAGCTAAGACCTCGGGAGACGAAAACTCAGCGCCTATCAATGGTATCTCCGAGGAACCTGTAGCTCTAGCTGTAGAGTCTGTAGAGCCGAGACTAAGAGACAACTTTTTAATCTTAGGTTATCTCACCTTCCTTCAAAGGTAACCTTCCGATGGCATACAAGACGATCAAGACGACCATAATGATGCTGGGAATAAGGAAATATATTGCGGAACCAAACACTATAGCAGTAGTCAGGGAAACTCTCGTTACATCACATCATGTAATGGCCACTAGCGTACAAAGAAAAAACCCACAAAAGCAAATGAATGACCCTTCCACCCTCAAGAAAGCAGTTTTCAATTTTACAACAAAATTTTCCCTTTATTTCTTTACCTACAACCCTTCTAATTAGGAGGGCGTTCAGATTACACGAGCTGCTGCAAAAATAATAGAGCTTGGGAACTGCGAGAAGAGTTGTAAGACTCTTATGAGATATCACTTTAAAGGGTTTATGACTGGAGTTGATACGTCGATAAGAAAGTGGCAAAGTAGCACCAAGTTCCTTTACTTTGTTATTACCAAGCAGGCACCTCTTATTCTCATGAAGTTCCCCACTTGAAGCCAAGTTAGACAGATTCGGATATGCAGACGACATTGTCATTGTTCGAGTCAGTAAAAGTCCTGGTTAGTCTGTTGAGGCAGTCCAGGAGGCGGTAGGTAGGATAGTCCAACTAGCTTAAACTTACATGATTAGACTCAACCCTTCTAAGTCTGAGCTCCTGGTTATCGGAGGGGGACCGAAGAAGAGACTAGATTCATCGAACCTCATAGTTAGAGTTGGGGAACAGCTTATTATGCCTTCTCCGCATATTCGATGGCTCGGAGTTTGGCTTGATTCTCAGCTAACACTTAGACAGCATATTCAGGAATGGTAAAGTAAGGTACAGCGGCTATCCCACTTTACACGCAGCATAAATAGGGTCCAACGAGGTGCGGCTCTGGGACCATTGATTCGTGCAGTGAATGCATGTGTTGTTAGAACGGCAATTTACGGCGCTGAAGCCTGATGACCTGGTCTCACCCGTATTACGACTGTAAAAGATAATAAAGTAAGCACGGGTGTCAGATGGCACCACAAGTTACCAGATAGGACTATTTTGACTACAATTCAAGCTGTACTAGCAGTGTGACGAACTACAATAACATAGTTTTGCACTGCGAATCAGGGATCTTACCTGCAAATATAGTGCTACAGCAGCGACAGTTCCAAAGTGCGGCCAGAATCCGCCGACTCTACAGCTATCATCCACTTGCGTCGAATGAAGTTGAGACACCCAAAGAGGCAATAAAGCAACTCCATCTGCGAGAGCGGCAGAAAGGACGTGTCTTCAAGGTTTCACAGCGATATTTAACACGCCTTCAGAGTTGGAACCTCAACCTGCCGGCATCAGAAGGTCCCGGGTAGCTTTATCAACCGTACATCGCCACGATTACTGCTAGGTCCAAATGCGACAAGGAAAAGGCGAAGCAGATTAAGTTTTGGCTTACATATCTACCCGCGAGTACGCTGTGTATCTATTTGGGTGGGTCATCGGCCGGTCCAGCTAACTCTACTCACCGCTATGCCATACATAGGGACAGCGAACTTCTAGTTAGTGGTGAAATTTTTCTCCGAGGAGCAGTGGTCTTTGACGCAGAAGTTGCCGGGGCAGCCCGAGACCTAGAGGCGGCGTTGAAGATTGGATGCAGTACAAGTATCTAAGTACTCCTCGACAATCAAAAGACGGTTAGTGTAACGGCTATAAAGCCGGTATTTCCTGTAGCCAGTACTGGCAAGTACTGGCGAGCAACCACCGGAGAACGGGCAGGCGCAAAAGCCACGTAAAAGATACTAGAATCTCCTAAGAAGGGACTAGAAAAGTCTCCATGTGAGTACGACTGATACTGAACCTTGGAGAATCTGCTAGAAATGATACCCTTAGAGTAGCAACTAGAATCATCTAGAAATGAGCTGACCATGGAGGGAAGAACTTAGAATGTAATAAATCTGTATATATGCCTGGATTAGTATGTAGAACTTAGGTATTCATAGTTGAATTATAAAATACCATCATCCATACAAATGCTCCTTGCTTTCTATAGTTGATCTGTGACAGTTAGAGCTCTTAAAAGTGGCAGAACTAATCCTTGAGAGTAAAGGTGTCAGGAACTGAGGATAGAGGTGTCAAGAGATAGAGTGAATTGAGGGAAGTTACTGTCACGTGATATAACGCGCCTGATACGCGATTCACGATGTATATATTTTTACAGGAGACCCTCCGACGTACCTTGCTGAATAGATTTTCGCTCCGAGATGACATCCCTATCAGTACACCAAGTGTTGCCAGGACAGATCTCCCATGGCCTCCAATCACCGAGGAAGAAATATTTCGCGCATGCTGTCAGGTCTCCTCTACAACCCCAGGATCCGACGAAATAACCCCGAATTCTCTCCATCGAGCATGGCCAATAATTGGTAAGAGAGTGTCAGCTCTCTTCCGCCAGTGCGAGAAGCTAGGAATACACCCAATAGCCTTCAAGAAGTCTACAGTGATTATTCTTCCGAAATCAGGAAACCGAGATCCCACCCTCTCGAAGTCCTATAGACCAATCTGTTGCGCTACGGTTATTTTAGGCTTACCTGAATTTACTCATAACATGACTCGGGTCGGAGATGTTAATGCTGATACATGATGCGTATGAAGGAAAATATCTTTTTGTTCGGATTTTACATAACTCATACTTTGAATTGGGTTTACATTTATGTTTCCGATGATATTCTCATCTTATCTGTCCAGAGCACGGTTTGGTATGTTTCGGTGGTAGCATTATTACCAGCGAGTTATCTAGTAGGGTTTCATATGAGGAAAACTATGTATTTTAGATACTCGATAGCCAGAGAATAGAGAGACAACCCTTCTATGATTTGTTACCTTCTACTCCCATTTCCAAAATAGTCCAACACAATCTTCCTCCTTTCATGCCTAGGTAAAGGCTTTGAGCGACTGATAGCACGGCGACTTTCATTTATAGCTCTGAAATATCGGGTACTAGCTGAAGACCAATGGAGTGCCATCCCTCTTCGCTCTGCTTCTGACCTTACCATAGCACTTGCTTGCGATATCCAGGAAAAATGGATGGAAAAGAAAGTAGCAGGTATAGTGACTGTCGATGTCCAAGGGGCGTTTGATGGTATCCAAAAAGGATGGCTCTGTTACAGGCTTCGAAACCAAGGATGGCCATCAAACGT